CTATGCTTTGCATGGATTTCTAAGTTATTATGTATCATTTATTAAAGTTATTATATTTTAGGTGTAAAATAGGAAAAACATATTGCTAATTGTATTAAACAAATTCTTATACATAACAAATTACAGACACACATAGATGCTTCCAGTAAAGTAGGCCAAGTAAATGTTTGTCATGAAAAAAAGATTCAGATTAAATTTTAGGGTCCATTCAAACTCTTAAATAAAAAATAAATAAATTTTTGCACTTAATTTTAAGGGACGACTTTTTTTTCATATAATTTAATAAAATATTCATAATTCCTTAGGATTTACTCCAAAGTCAATGTTACTACAACCCTAAACTAAATTATTTCTATTCAAAACTATAGCAATAACTTTTAGATTTTATGCCTTTATAAGGAATAAACAAAAAAAAATCCCCCATAAGGTTTTTATTTGTTATCTCCAAGCCTAATTTATTGTGGCCATCTAGTTTATGGATATTTTAGGGTCCCCCTAAATTCATGCAAATTTTCGTGTGGATAAGTGGAGCCATGTCAAAGTCATCACAACTTTTGTGATTTTTAGAAAAAAATCAAAGGCTCCTCAAATTTTGAGGCCTTATGAGATCTATCTTTATTTATAGCTTTATAGTAGATATTAATAGAGCAAAACATATTTGACAATTGTATTGCCAAATATACAGCTATAAACATAAGATCTATTTATTAATAGAAGGGCGAATATTGAGCAAACATTTTTGTTTAAGGGTTTTTAAAGAGGAGTAAAACCAACATCATCTTAGTTTATCCCCCAAAAATATATTTGACGGTATAATTTGTGTATATTATGTATAATACATGCTTTATTCCCATTTTCAGATCGAATTTCGACAAAATACCAAATTTTGTGCATGTAATCCTACTTTGGGTACTCATCTGGTTTTGAAAAATATTTATATTTAGGATACAGCTATATTATGAGTAAAATATTGAAACAATTAGTACTGACCTAAGGAGTAAAGTGAGTTCAAATATTTTTTTAATGAGAAATGAAGTTGAGATTTATATTTCGCATCTCGAAATATAATATTTAACACAAAAAAACAAATCGATTGATGTATCCAACTTAGAAATCCATGCAGAGCAAAGCAAGAAACAGTAATGAAAAAAAATACAATTTAATTTTTTTTTTTCTCTTTTATAGTGTGCATTTGCAAGAACCCTCAGACATGGTCTAATATTTTTTCACTTAGTATCACCAAAAAAAGTTTCATTGAAATCAGTGACAATGTCCGTAACCTCCTATAAGTTATATAAGCTGGATAAGATATTTTTGAAATTTCATCACAGAAGAGGGAGTCCAAGGAGTATGTTTTATGTTTCTTATTATTGTATGTTATGAATTTGTCTAGTTAATTACAATTTAAAAACTGACAAAAAATGAAAACGAAAACCCAATATGAATCTCATATATATATATATATATATATATACACACACACACACACATACACACAGTCGTAGTCATAGAAATTGCATCACCCAGTAAAAACTTTATTTTATTTACCAGATTGTTATCTGCAAAATATCCGGACATTTCTTTGCCAGTTTTGAAGTATTTTTTTAAAATAAAAAAACAATCGCAACATTAAGCGGTCAAATTGTTTTTTTTCCCTCCCAGTTCCTATTTTCGCTTTATGGTGATTTGAGAACGATTTTTTTCAAAACCGACAACTATTGATTTGTGGTACCCTTTCCTCTTCACTGTTTCCCGTGAAATTCCTTTCACTTGATGTAACATCACAATCATAATATTTTCTGATGAGGACAGTTGTTGGAAACTGATCATTATTACACCTTTTATACTGGCATCAGTTAAAACTGAACTGAGAAACATTGTTTAAGTTTTCTTGTAACATAAATAAGTAAAGAGAAAGAAAAACATTCAATGGAATGAACGTCATCAGCATAAAATCAAAAGAAATAGGTAATGCAATTTCTATGACCACAACTGTGTGTATACATGAAGTTCAGGAAATTAGGATACAATCTTTTTAAATTCGTGCTATTAAAATGTAGTTCAAAAGTTTCATATGAACAGTCTAATCAATGCATAATACACATACTAAACATTAAAATATGATTAAATATTTCATAACATAAATTTAATCCATAATATATTGAATTATAAGTTTCACTTTGTAAACATAACAAAGATTTATAAAAACGGTACAGAAACTAACTTATTAAAAATACTTCTTTCATGAATTAAAGGCATGAAGAATGAATGAGTTACACAGTTAAAAAAATGAAAAATAAGAAATAAAAGTTTAGAACAATAATTTTCTTTGTTAATTTTTATTTAAAGGTTCAAATATTTCCTTCAATACACAGAAAAAAAAAAAAAAATACTTCAGTTTCTACCCAACATTAAGTACATGACACTAAATACAGTAAACTTAAATTTTTACCAGGCATCGTATTTGGTTATTCAGTATAAAAACAACCAAGTAAAAATTTAAATAATTAGAAAATATACTTTTTTTTGTTTAAAATGATTTAGTAACAAAATAATAAATTTAAAAAATAAATAACAATGTTTCTCTTCTTAGTATACTCAGATAAAATAAATATGTTATTAAAATTTAACACCTTAATAATACAAAATTATTTATTTTTCTGATGACTGACTTGGTCATATTTTACACTGGTCCAACAACATAGCAATTTTTTTTTAAATGTTATAATGGCATCACATGAAAATAAACTAAAAATATTTGATAAAGTTATCTGTAAATGTGTTAATATAACATAAATTTATATATATACATGTATAAACTGCAGATTTATTAAGTTAATTTTTGAAAAAAAATTATATACATATATAAACAAAACTTTTTAAAGCACTATGCTGTTTTAGGACTTGATTATTTTAATATTGAAAGACCGGAGATAAGTAGACCCTAAAATCCTCAGTCACACAATTAGTTAATAAAAGTAAGATTACTGTGATACTTTCATAACAAACTTAAAAATCACAGCCACCATAAATGTTGAAAATAATTTCATCATTTCAAATTCGCTGCATTATTGCTGATAGCTTTCAACACAAAATATACACTTTTTCAATAACTTTAAAAAAATAAATCTGTATATTTTAATAAAACAGAAAGATGCTATATGTTAACCAATACAACCATTTTTATGAGAAGAAAATAATAAATATAACTAAAAAGTAAATAAAGATATTTACCACATAAGGAAATATTTTTTAAAATGGAGAAACAATAGAATCATGAGAAAATTGCTTCCTGTAATAATTAACTTTCAATATTTTTATTTAAAAATGTATTTTTAGTGCTTAATCAAACAAATTAAAAAAACAAAAAACAATGAAGGTGAGAATAAATCATCTTTAATATCCTCACCGTTAAATCCTAATAGCTTGATTCAACAAATTATACAGAAGAATATTTCAACAATGACTTTCATACAAAAGGGAGGATTGAGAATAATTCACTTCCAAGACAATCTACAATGTAATAATCCTCATTGCTTCATTGAACAGATTTATACTTAAGAACACTTTTCAATAATTGTTATTGAAAGGGGAGTTTAAATATAATTTAAGAAAAAAAATTAAGATTAATTTTACTAAATGTATCAATATTTACTTAATCAGAATGAGAAGGTGTTGTTCTTTTATTAAACCAGTTAAACAGCAAACATGAATGAAATAGATTTACAACAATATCTGAAACTACCTCCCATTAAAATAAATAGTAGTAGACAATTAATTTAGTATAATGCAATAAATATAATATAAAAAATGCCAAAGCCTTTAGCAACAATTTTCCTGAAAAGTTCGAGAAAGCTACTGAAGGTGGTACCATAGTTCAAGCGAAAAGAAGTGTAATTATATCAATCAGACTAATTTAAAAATGTTAATATTACAAGGCCATAAATATCACTGTACCCCATTCAACAAAAAATATAATAATAAAAGATATACGAGGGAATTTATCTCATACAAAACAAAATATGAGAAAATTGGTTTTATTCAACATAGAAATAATTTTATTTTTTAAATGGTGGAGTAACTATAATCATAATTGAAATCAGTTAAAAAAAAAATAAAGAAAAAACTCAGCTAAAAATGAACATTAGTATCTTCAACAGTCAATAAAACTGAGCTTTTGTAAAAAAACAAGTAGTGGAATATAATTCAATCTCCCCTTTTATCTATAGCTGTTTAATGATCAATGATGGTGAAAGTAATAAGATTTAAACAAGTGCTTGACATATCTAATTTATATTTAATCTAGAAAACATGTAGTTCCTAGAAAAAATAAATAAAAGAATAATACAAATAAAACAAATTATGATCAACACTTGTTCCAATATCAAAAGACAATCTACTACAGTTTTAAAATATAGGTACAAATTATTAACACCAAAAACTTTAATAATTGATGAAAATAAAGCATACATTTTAGAACTTTTCAACCAATTAAAACCAGTAAATAAGTATTTGATGTAAAAGTTAAAAATGTAACGGTACAAAAATATGACAACCAATTTACAATGATTGGTTTAACTATTCAACCTTAAATATACATAATGAATGTAAAATTAAGGAAATATACATCATCAAACTATTACAAGCATTTTGCTATTTAGATGAGAACAATAAACTAAATTTGTTGAAATCTTTATTTAAGCAACCATTACTCCAGTAACTGGTAACCTTTTAAGAATTTTAATATACATAATATTAATTAATAACAATCTTTTCATCATACGACTAGCATTTAAATGAAGTATGCACTATAATCTTCAAGTGCAAACATTTTATTTTTTTAGGAAATAAAATTTCCTTAAAGCATTTAATAGACCTAAATCTTCACAATTTGAATCTTTATTAGTGAAAATATTTGTTTAGTTGAAACAATATTGTAAATAAAAAAAACTTTAAACCTCAGGTATATATGTAAAAATCTAAAAATATTTAAATACTTATACCTTTCATAACATGGAAAAAATATTATTATAATACAAGATTGTTACCTAAAAATTAGATACATATTTATAATTTCATTTTTCTTCTGCTGTTTTACAATGTGAACAAATAAATACATCTGGAATATCTGACTTTTTAACTTTAGCACATCTTAAATGAATCCAGGTAAGGCACTTGCTGCATTCTATCATTGGACGCCCAGCAAAAGGCTTCCCACAAAAGCAAGTCACCAAATCATATGAGTCTTCATCCGATGACATTTCGACGACTGAGTTTTGCTGTTCATCTTCATTCGTTAAATCGGAATTTTTATCCAACTTCTTATCAATATCTTCTCTACTTAAATCTTGAGAATCCTTAGGAAAATAAAACATTTCAGTTAGTATTATAGTTAAACTAATTTTAAAACAGGTTTAAACAATTTTGACTACATCAGGTATTGTTTGATTAGATTCGAATAATCTTATGCTGAGTTGATTGTAAAAATGTTTCTAATTCAAACACTAATGCACACACACACACAAATGCTAATGAGTTAATTACAAAACTTTTTCTAATTCAAACACTAATACCCTTAACACTTTACATAAATATTAAATTAATTTACACTTGTTATAAAAAACGTCACATCAATACAGTAAAATCAAATAAAACCCATGGCACACAACAAAAGCTACTTTTAAGAAGCTAGCCGGAATTATCTAGCCGGAATTATCCATTAAAAATTAGGGAGATGATTGTCAATGCAATATGTTTACATATCTACCTCATATGAAATAAAAAAATAAAAAAATGTTCTTAAAATTAATTTAATATCAGTATTTTGAGTTCATCAAAATCATTAATTTAACACTAAAACATGGTATCTACAAATACTGATAATTGGAACTCGCGACTGATTTCCAAGTTTCAAGAGTTTATACAAACGTCTCACGCCACATGCAATAATGATCTAAAATATAAATTAAAGTACCCAAATATACATACTTTGTGGTGAGTAACTAAAAAAATACTGCAAATTATTATATTATTAGGAAATAGTTCATAATTTCCAAAGAGATAAAATCTTAACAATGAAAAATAATGTTAGCATTTTTTAGGCTATAGTAATATGATTTCAAATCATTATGTTATTTCTCAAACTTCATAAATGGTCTAATGGGTGAATTAATCTATCGCCATTTAGAAACAAAGAGGCAAAAGGTAATGAATTTCCTGCGGTAACCTGTGACGTAAGTGCCTAATCTGAAAAAATATGTCTAGTCTGCTAGGCCACCATTCTCAGAGAAAAGTATGATGGAGAACAAAAGTTTTTTTTTTTAATTCTAGATATCTAAATGTAAACATTAAGCTTCAAATACTATAGGGAAGGATTATTCTTTTCATAGTTGATTATGAAGGTTTAAAGAATAAAACTAAAATTAATAAAAAATTGCTGGCCCAATGAAGATAACCCTTTTTAAAATTGCCTCAATGGGAAAGTTAAGCTGTAACTACAATTATTTTTATTTTTTAAAGGAAGGAGATGGTCCGGGGTTGCGGAATAAATAATTAATAAAATTAATTAATAAAATAGTTTTACCACTATTTAGCCTATTTATGACCGCAACCCCGGACCATCTCCTTCCAACAGTCAACTATTAAATATTCAATATTTTTTATTTTTTATACTTTCTAACAAGAAGTCTCTTTTACTTTTTGACAGACGCCTTATTATATATATTACATATACATAAGTGAAAATAAAAAGTAACTGAAACATTCACCAGATACCTTATTCTAGATTTAAGAAATAATCCCTTGTGGTGTTGGGAATAGAAGCAAATATTACACCAAAGAGATTGTACAGTAAATGAGGATCTAAAAACACAGTGTTAAACTTTGTTTTTTTTTTAGTGTATCTCTTTATTTTAAGATATTAGTTTTTAAAAATGTTTTAACCTTTTTGTTTTATAAATAGGAAAAAGTTCATAATTAGGCAAAATAATGTTTTTATATCAATGTACTTTGTGTAGATAATATGTTGTTTAAAAAGTACACTCAGTGTCAATATGTTACACACACTTCAAAAATTTTTATCCCTATCCTCCCATCTTTTCAAATTATCCATAAAACAGAACTTAAATGATCTATCACTCACCTGAAGTTAATCAGCAGCCTGCTTGTATTTTGGTTCTTAAGCCAAAAATATATACATTTCTTTTTATTTTTCAAATTTAAGTTAAGGGCCGTCAAAATGTTAGACACGCTCCCTGGTAAAAATAAATAAAACTCATTTTAATACTTTGTGGCCTTTCCACCACCATTTATTAATTTAAAAATTCTGTTTGGTAATGAATCGTACAATTTTTTTATTGTTTCTTGAGGTAATTGTTCCCATGAAGCCAGAATAGGCCAGTCTAATTTGGCAACTTTTTTTGCGAGTAAACCAGTTTTTAATAATTTTTGCTGAATGTATTGGGGCGTTATCTAGCTGGAAAACTGATGTGACATGTTATTAAAAGTCAACTTTTTGTATTTTTATATTCAGCTGAGTTTACTCTTGATGAAACAAATATCAAATTTCCTTTCTTTTTGTAACCAATTGATACCCGAACCATAAATTTTCCTCCTCCCATTCGACGCCTTGATAACATTTTTTCTTCTTTTCTTAAGTTACTAATAATACAAAAATCCATCTGGCCCATCCACATTGAATTTTTTTTTTATCAATTTGTGATGGGTACTCAAAACTGTTTTTTTTTCTATATTTTTTTTTTACTTTTTAAATAATCTTTGGACATTTCTTAGTTTTGTATGAACTTCTTCAGCAATTGCTCTTGCTGTTTTACAAGAGTTGGATGCGATTTGAAGAATATTAAGTTTCTCCCGTAATGTCAAAGCAGGAAGCCTCCCAGTAGAATGGAGGGTTCCATATGTCTCCCAGTGCCGAATAAACTTCATGACCGATAAAAATCTCCGCTTGATTTGGCGAGCTATTTTCCTACAACTCATCCCGTTCTTATGAAGTGAAGCAATCGAATGGCGCTCTTCTTTGGAGAAACACTTAGTCTATTTTGAAAAAAATTCAATACCACTGAAGTAGAAATGGTATTTTAACAATTTCAACGCATACAAAATCTTGATATTTAATGATATTGGATTTAAATAATCCTCAAGGTCTGAGAAGATTGTCCCCATTTCAACATCATAATTTATACTTTAAACTGTGCTTAAAAAAATAATATCAATCAAAAATAAAGAAAACATGAAAAGTTTTTTTCAATTTCAATGGGCGTGTCTAACATTTTAACACTGAGTGTAAGAGAATCGGTTTTAAGATTAACAGAAACTTATTAGTCAACCTCTAGTCTGAGGCAGCCGGATAAGCCTTCAATATAAACAGTGGAGAAGAGAGAGCCTTAAGAGTCTGATGTGAGTAAGGACCAATCAAACGGCTCCGTTGGATTTATTTTTTGTAATTTTAGTATAGTATACTTTTTAATACAAATATGTTAGGTTAAGAAATTATTATTTTAGTTTAGAAGATAGAGAATTACAATAATAATATTATTGCTCGGCTGCTCAACTATGTTGGGTTGCTAAACCATAAAACATAGCATACTCATCAATCAACCGATAATATTGAAAAAGATTAAAAGAGTTAGGTAAGAACATTGGAATATATAACAAATAAATAATTTATTAAAATATCTGTTAACTTTTTCCTATTTGTTAAGATTTATTTTTTTAATGTTCTTTTTATTTCTACTATGATTTCTTTATTATTTGAAATTTTTTTGCCGTTTTACTTTAAAAATGACGTGGCGCCCAACTTTTAGTGATTATCTATTTTTCTTTTCTTTAATAAATATTATTTCTATTTTAATTGTTTTTTCTCTTCTTCATGACCCACCCTCCTCTTCACTGAGGCTGGAGGCAAATTTAAAGGTTACTGTTGGAGGTAACAACAGCATCAGTAAAAAAAAAAAAAAAAAAAAAAAAAGAAAGTTAATTATTTACCTCCTTATCTGACACATCATAATTCTCATACTCCAATATGAATTTACAGAACAAATAAAAATCTTCAGATGTCCTAGGTTTTTTGGGTTTTGATTCTTCGAAATCCTAAAAACAAAAAACAAAACTTACTTACATATTGTATATTATAGGTAGTGAATTTGCAAGGTAACATTAAATTGACAAATAGATGTTTCATATAATGTTAAATTTAATATTGTATTGGTCGTTGATTATGATATTCTTCTTCAATGTGTGAACCATCACCCCTCCCCTAAGTTTGGCAAAAATGCACTACGACCACAAGGGTCGTATTGTGCACCATGTACAAGCAGTTTTATACTAAAACGTTAATTTGGTCTCATCGTTATATTTGAATAGGCTTATGGGTTTAATCGACTCATAGCTTTTGGGGTCATTCACTCGATCCACACCAAACAGGTTGAATCTAAGCCTTGCAAACCTATCTTGCTGAGGAACAATGTGAAAGGCTGTTTCATTCTCACTTTGACAGAATCCACATAGTGAGTCATTAGTCAGTCTGAGATTGTAAATACAATTTACAGTGACCAGTATAGATCACTGTAAGTTTTTTAAGTGCTGCTCAATCCAAACCGAGTAGCAGCTTGCTCATTTTATCGCAGGTCCCTTCAGGAAACAGCTTCCAATGCCGCTAACCTAAACCCTAGCAAACATAAGCTGTGGGTATGGCCAGGTGAAGCTGCATAACCGGAGGTTCGCCAAGATTTGAGAAAAAAGAGATGCTTTGTGTTTGGTAGAACTTCGAAGGCGTTGAGTATTTTGAATTTGTTCCCGATGGTCAGGCAGTGGACTCAAACCTTTACTGTGAACAGCAAGACAGAGTTTATGCAGTTTTGAGTGCAAAGACAGAGTTTATGCAGTTTTGAGTGCAAAGTACTCAATTTTGGGTACACAGGATCCAAGTGATTTTGCAACACGACAATGCCTTTGCACATAGTTCTCGTTTGACCAAGAAAAACTTATTGAAACTACAAGCAGTAAACGTTTTGCCTTATCCTGTATACAGCCCAGATATTGCACCATCAGATTACAGTTTGTTTAGATAAATGGCTTATTTTTTAGAAGGTCGGATCTTTGATAATTATTAGGATGTAAAAAGTTCTTTGCCTCAAAACCAAAGGAGTGGTACCGGCTTCAAATCCAATCACAGGCAGAAAGATGGGAGAACGTATCTGAAAACAATGTAATTTACTTTGAAGAGTAGTATTCAATAATGTTTAAAATATGTAATATGAAATATAGCTAAACTTATGCACAAGCATTTTTGTAACAACCTAGTAGATGGCACTAAGGTTCGACTTAATTCAAAGATGTTCAAGATATGGAAGAAGACTTAAGAGTCAAGCTACTACAACCTTATCTATACAATATGGGAGGAAAGGATACTAGAGGCTTGGAACACGGACCTAAAATGCCCTATCCTAAAGAAAAGTGCTGCGTATGAGTGTAGTAATTGCAGAGGCATGGCATTCCTTTCTGTTGTCATGCCCAATAACTAACACTAAATCAAATACATCAGTATTATGAAAAGATAGTAGGTTACTACCAATCAGGATTCAGAAGAGGAAGGAGCACGCTAGACCAAATCTTTATCCTAAAATTGGCACTCGAAAAACGACGGTAAGTAGCTTACGATGTACACACCTAATTTGTCAATTTTAAAGCAGCCCATGATCCATGGACAGAAACTGTCTTTGAAATATCATAACAGAGCTGGAAGTTCCTGGAAAATTGGTAGATTGACAAAGGGGAGTATAAATGACGCCAAACAAATATTTTAGTTGCTTGGTTAATATTATTATTTAAATATTATTTTCAAGTTATCTTAGTGCGACTTACTACTTTTTAAATTCTAAATAATATTATATATATATAGTCTTCAAGGAATATATAAGCCCTTATAATTTGTGAATTCGATGTTAAAAATATAGGCCAACATTATGTCCATATATTACATAAGATCAGTTTTTAATTAGATAGGTTATTGGAAAATAATAAACATCAACAGAGCTATATCCCATTTACTTATTTAGTTAATTCCTACAGAGCCTTAAAGAGCTCAAATGTACATTCAATGTTAAACAATAGAGGGAAGAGGTAGTATCAGGTTTCGGGGTGCATATGCAGATTAAATAAAACAAAAATAGAAATCCATAATAGAAATTGTCTATTTTCTGAAATAATTGCATAAACATATTTTTTATTTTTAAAATGGACAAGCATTAGTTAATGCGCAAAAAATGAGAAGAGGAGTAGTGTTATTTTTTTTATACCAAGAATGTTAATGAAATTATAATATAGAAATATATTTTAGTAGATAAAATTTGTTAGTAAGTTCTCAATTTTTATGAGTAGATGATAAGTGATCATTGTTGTCAATCATGTTTGTTAATTGTTATTTGTATATGACTTGAGAATGAGCAAATCTGCTCGAAACATCGTTTGAAGTAGAATAAATCTTTAAAGTATAAGGGCTTATATATTCCTTTTAGACACCATATATAAGAAAGAACATTGAGTGCATGAAAAATACTACTGTAGTAGCTAAATATAAGTAAATAGTAATATAATTATTCTACATTCATAATAAAATTACTTTTTTTTAAATAAAAAATTAATTTTTATTTACTTATTTTTTTAAATCTATTCTACTCCTGCACAGAAATAATTCCCCTTTCTCTACGGATATACAACTTTTTTAAAAAAGTTATAAATCATCATAAATATTGAGTCCTAAAAGAAGGAGAAGTATCTGAAACCTTCAATGTTGGAACTGGCTTGCAACTGCAATAAGGTGATAAAAACATAACATGAAAATGTGAGCGCTGACAGTATAGATGTATGGGCAGCAAGCAATATTTTGAGGTTGAACATTGAGAAGAGCAAAGCCATTTTCATTGGGTCCAAGTATCTCCGTAATTCCATTCCTTATTATCCCTAATCTATCTCAATGAGCTAGGTATTCAGACTTCCATTAGAAACCATGGGATAATTTTGTATCAATACCTTTCCTGGAATAATCATATTTCCTAAATTATCTGAAAATCTGCTGCTATCCTTCAACAGTTCCTGAGATTTCGTGATAATATCCTGCTTAAAACCAGTTGGCTCATAGTTTCCCTTCTTCTTTATTTCCATTTCGATACCGCAGGAGTAACGAAATATTTAGATAAAAATTAAGAAAATTATAAACAGACTAAATAAAGTGTATGAAAATTCAAATATAAAACCAAATAACCACAAACTATAATAGAGTAAATAAAAATTGGTAACTCTATATCTCCCTTATATTCTTATTCTCTGAGATAACGTACAAAAATACTTAAAATTCACTATTCCAAACTAATGCATCGGCCTTAAATCCCTAAAAAATTGTCTTCCCTTTTCACCAACTTGAAACATCCTATACCCTTAAAACACTGATTAATGAAGTTTATCAGATACCCTGCTCTACTCCTTATGACGAGTACTTATATTGGCGCAACTAAAAACTATCTCAAAACCTGAATCTCCCAACATATAACATCCATAGCTTCCCGGAACCCTTCCTATCAGAAGATGCATTGACCACTCAATCATTCTATTGATTTTCAAAAAACCTCCATCTCTGCCAATTTTACCTCATATGAAAAAAAAATTCCGAATCCATCTATATCCACATGGAACAGAACCCAGTGAATAATAAAAGTTTTTATTAAAATTTACCTACACCTGTAACATTAAACCTCAATTCAAGAATGAATGTTTTATTAAATATATGATTAATATTATGTTACATTTCTTTCAGCTAGATTTAGGTTAATCGTCATCCATAATTGAAATAGATATAGGTTTTCCTTCACATTAAAAAATGTTATACCTAACTTAAATATAGAGAATCTACTTATAACACAAGAGGAGATAAGAGTTTTATAATTGAATATTACAAATCAAACATAAAACTAATATTTTTTCATTTTTGAGGTGTTATAAACACAATTTTAGACTTCTTGAGGTTTTACTGCATGATTTTGCACGTTTTGAGTTTTATACTGCACGAAAATTCAGTCTGCATACAAACATACATATACACACACACACATATACAGATAAAATAGAATAATAAAATAGACGATAACTTTATTCTGGGATGAAGTCCCTATAGAATAATAAATAGAACAACATTTTTTTAAAAAATAAAGTAGCTATATACAAAAAATAAAACTGTGTATAAAACTCTTCTTATTATAATATGATAAAAAATAATATCTGCATAGAGAGAAAAAATCTGGTGTGGTATGCGCATCACACAACTTATTAATACACAACAAATCATACCATCATTATCATCACACAACAAATTAATACCAACAATAGCATTTATGAAAATGGCGTATGTATATATACATAATATTGTCGGAGTCCTTATTATAAGGTCATGTTACGAATGGAAACGTGTTCTAATCTTTCAGGCGAGCTCGTGTGCGCTCGTATTCCTTTAGTTCGTCAATTACAACTATTCTACATTACGATCTCTTATTTCTCCTTTAGTTAATTATCAAACTCTTTCATATTGTATATTTAACTGTCGTTTATTATGTAGGTTTCATATGTAGGTAAATGAAAGTAAAAAGTCAATAAAAAATTATTATTTCAATTCATTACTCAGTTTAACCGCACTCAATGAAAATCAGAGGCCAACTGAACTGTTTATGAAGCTTTTTCTTTATATTATAAATTGATGGCTCCCTGTGTGGTAAATCAAGATGGTGCGGGTGGCTAACTATTAAATAAATATATTCCACTTCCATGAAACAATGAATTTCCCAAAATAATCTCCCCTTTTTAACTTTATAAAAAAAGAAAACCAACCAAATAAAAAAAAAATGGATAGTAGCCAAATTAAAAAGCAACAACAGTTAAACAAATGCACTATTAGAAAAATATATAACATATATCGTCAAATTTTGAACTCAGTAGTTAAATGGTCACTCAATATATTTGTATTGTCCCCCCCCCTCCCCTTCCTCACCTTTTAGGCTATACAGTTTTTTTTCCGGGCTGAGGATTAATGCCACAGTTAAAAGCCTCTCTATCACTGGGACACGAACTTTTAATTATTTTATCATTTTAGTATCTGTTTATCTGGTAGCCGGATAAGGGCTGTGCTATGCACACGTGTTAGCCCACTCAGCCATCCTGCCAGCAAGGTCATCACCAGAGATGGGCATATTTATATTTAAAAATATGAATACGAATATATTCGTATTCATAAAAAGTAATATGAATACAGTATTCACGACTGTAAATATAAATACGGTCTTATTCATGATTGTAAAAGTGAATACGGCAGTATTCACATTTATTAAAATGAATATGCTTAAATTTACAGAAGTGAATGAAGATATTTTTACACAATCTCATTTATTAAAAAAAAATATATTTATTAAATTATTTATATAAAAAAAATATATTGACTATACATCCCATTTTATTTTTATTTATAGTATTATATTCTTTGTTTTACAATATATTATGTTAATTATCACTCGGAATGTTTGTACGTAATATAAATTCTCAAGCATTTTTTTTTTTATTTGGTCCAGAGGGTGGAGCCTCTCCCGTACCAGAATGGAAAGCCTATGTTTATGATCCTAGACATACAGACTTTTCGGTGCACTGTTTAGTTATGGGCTGCTAATGGTAATAAAGATAAGTTTAATGGATGGCCTGGGTAGGTACAACACGCGGAACGATACTCTGGAAATTCCATCGGCGAATATGTGTACACGACAGACTTAAGTTGAAGCAAGGAAAGGGACAAGAGCTGTCAAATTTGAATAGTGACCTTTCCAGACCTGCCGTTCAGTGTGCAATGTGTGAATATATTTGTTAATGTGTTAAGTTTTGCATATAGAACAATGTATGAAGTTGATAGCGAAACTAAGTCTGTTTGTTTAGCAGGCACTTGCAATCTGGATGATAGGGATTTTTTTTTCAAGTTTTTTTCATGAAAGTACCGGCTCTTTAAGAAATTCCAGTATTCTCACCTATTCAGAATTTTTATTGGGGAAAGGGAGAAAGGCGATGCCCGAAGAATATAATGCTATATATAAAAATAAAATGGTATATATAGTAATTTTCTTTAAAAATAAATAATTTAATAAATACATTTTTTTTTATAAATAAGAGTATTCATTAATAAGATTATGTGAAAATATTTACATTCACTTCCATAAATTTAAGCGTATTCATTTTAATAAACGTTAATACTGCTGTATTCACTTTTACTAATGTAAATACAAGGGCTCGGAAATTTATATTACATGCAGACATTACAAGTGATAATTAACATAATATAATACATTGTAACATAATTAACATAACATATTGTAAAAGGAAGAATATAATACTATATATAAAAATAAAATATATACAGTAAATATATTTTTTTTTAAATAAATAATTTAATAAATACATTTTTTTTAATAAATAAGAGTATTTATTAATAAGATTTTGTGAAAATATTTCCATTCACTTCTGTAAATTTAAGCAAATTCATTTTAATAAACGTTAATACTGCTGTATTCACTTTTACTAGAGTAAATACAAGGGCTCGGAAATTTATATTACGTGCAGACATTACAAGTGATAATTAACATAACATAATTCCTTGTAACATAATTAAAATAACATATTATAAAAAGATGAATATAATACTGCATATAAAATAAAATGATATATATAGTAAATCTATTTTTTTAAATAAATAATTTAATTTAATACATTTTTTTTAATAAATAAGATTATTCATTAATAAGGTTGTGTGAAAATATTAGCATTCACTTCTATAAATTTAAGCGTATTCATATTAATAAACGTGAATACTGCCGTATTCACTTTTACTAGTATAAATACAAAGGCTCGAGAATTTATTTTAAGTACAAACATTACAAGTGATAATTAACATAATATAATACATTGTAGCATAATTAAAATAACATATTGTTAAAAGATTAATATAATACTGCATATAAAATAAAATGATATATATAGTAAATCTATTTTTTAAATAAATAATTTAATAAATACATTTTTTTTTAATAAATAAGATTATTCATTAATAAGGTTGTGTGAAAATATTAGCATTCACTTCCGTAAATTTAAGCGTATTCATTTTAATAAACGTGAATACTGCCGTATTCACTTTTAATAGTATAAATACAAAGGCTCGAGAATTTATTTTACGTACAAACATTACAAGTGATAATTAACATAATATAATACATTGTAACATAATTAACATAAAATATTGTAAAAGGAAGAATATAATACTATATATAAAAATAAAATATATACAGTAATTTATATTTTTTTTAAATAAATACATTTTTTTAATAAATAAGAGTATTTATTAATAAGATTTTGTGAAAATATTTCTATTCACTTCTGTAAATTTAAGCGTAATCATTTTAGTAAACGTGAATACTGCCGTATTTACTTTTACAGGTGTAAATACAGCCATATTCACTTTTACAATCGTGAATACGGCCATATTTATATTTACAGCCGTGAATACGTATCTTCTGTATTCATATTACTTTTTATGAATACGAATATATTCATATTTAAATTCATTTGTACTATAAATATAAATGATATTTGTATTTATATTTTTGAATATAAATATGCCCATCACTGGTCACCACTAAATAACCAAGTGTATACATAAGTAGTTGGGAAGATCCCGATGGACTGGGCATTAGGTGAGAATATGCTGCAATGATATTTGCAAGAAGGCCCTGATTAAGGTGTTACATGAAAAGATAAAAGTAGGAAAGCCGAACATGTAGATGGATGGATGTTGTCTCTGAGGATGCGAAAGTCCTTTTGGGTACCCTAGGTAAGTTTGAAGTTAATAAAATATTAATTCTTGGAATACATTAATATTTGAATATTGAGGGATTAGGGAAAATAATTTAAGAATAAAAATAATGCTAACTGGTATGTGGATAGAAATGTATTGATATATTCAATGGATTCCAAGATTATGAAAAAACTTTTTCAGTTCTGGAATTACTATTAGTTAAATTTCAAAATATAACGGCGTATAAGAACATTGAACCATTTCCTAAAAATTCGCAGTATAATGACAATGTTGTTATCAACAATTTATTTATTATTTAACTTTAAGAGCTTCTATTAGGAGGCTTCTCTAATGTTAAAAGAGGGGTTCTATAAAAAGCATACTTAGATTAATTTAATGAACCATTTATTTATGAAATCAATCTGATTACCAAGTAAAATAAATGTGACTTCTTCACGAGTTGTAACATAAAATTTAACTTACAATGCTTCTTGTTTTAGACATCCTCCTATCTTTCATCTTGAACTTCCTTATAGAGCTCGTTCTTCTTTCGAAAGAAACCGGTTGATCATCTAAAACAAAATTCATATAATTAAAGTTTATTAGAGATATAATATTTTACCTTTTATAAATTTAAGTAAATTATTCACTCACTCATTCACAATTCCAGAAATATAACAATTGAGATAGAGAAAAGACAAATTTATAAGGTGAAACCTATGCCAACAAATATTATATATTATATATGTTTCTCATAAATTTAATGATGCCATAAAATCATCTTAGTCAAAGAAATGGAATAAAATGGTGATGAATAAAAAATATTTTAAAATAATCAATTAGGTAAAAATCTATAAATCTTAAAAGAGATTTAGTGTTCATAGGTCAGCAGTGAATGCAATGGTTGGATAAGTTGTATGTAACTGCTAAGTATACAAAATAATCTTTATTTGAAGAATTAAGATAAGGTCATACACCAACATTTCTCAAATAATGAATCAACAAAGTTAACTGAGGTTCACAAATCGGATAGACTGACCTGTATTGCACATCATATAGACTGGATACACTAGACTTATTACATCTGAGTAGCAGTAGATGAAGGGAATGAGGAGGGAGTAGGCAGGTCTTTACAGAACACTATTATTACATCTAACCCATTTGTATAAGGAAGCCTTAGTTCAAGCATAAAGATAAAGAGGCATTCAGACTTAAAATTCTAATATACTAATGGAAAAAAATTGGATGCTAATTGTTACCTTATCTACAAATTAATATTACTGTTAAAAGAAATTTAAGATTGAAAAAACTATTCAACTGTTTAAAAATACAATGTATATACTGTTGAATTGCTAAAATAAAACAAAAGCTCAATGATCATTTTTAGTATAATTTACTAGCGATATAACAGCTAATATTTTACGCTGTTCAGGGATCAACCCCTGAAACACAAAAAAAAAAAAAAAAAAAAAAAAAAAAAAAAAAAAAAAAAAAACCAGTTCTATATAATTCTGGACTTCACCACCATTTTATTGGCCTCCATTTTGATGTAAAGTTTTCCAGTACAGTTAATGCCAGTCATAGGTGAAGTGTTGACACTCTCATTTCATTTAACCAAAACTTATCCTTAAAAAAATGTGTTGCTAAATCCCAAGGAGGCGGCCTGGTGAATGAAATATGGGGAGGAAGACTAGGAGGAGGCCAAGAAATGAAGCTCAATTTCAGACGCCAAATGAGTCCAACTAAACCATACAATTTTAGTCTGAAGCGAAATCACTTCCAACATGGCAATGCCATACGGCAAAATACACCATCAGCAATATTTACTTCATCTTTCAGGATCAACAAAATTGTACAAGTGCACAAATTTTATTTTATTTTTCCTGGTTATATCCATTACATACAATATAATCATGTTTTGAATCATTTGTTGAATTTATACATGTTAAATTTCATTGATCCAACATCATACAGTCCACACCAATTCTTACAATAACCAGTGCACTATCACTCATTTATAGGTCAATGGGTAATATTTGGCTCACACCAAATTACCGTGACTAAACATATGCTATATTTATTTTTTTACATGATAGACCCAAACTGTCTCCCTAATTGCAAGATGTCTATACGAGCATTTACATAATAATAAAAACATGAAATTTTCAAGAATGAGCCAAATTGTAATAAGAATAAATTGAATTTATTTACTCAGATCATCCCTTAGTCAGAGAGCCCATGCAGAAACATGGGACTTAGTTTTTACACAAAGTTTCACCTATCTCAAACAATTATTTCCTTGAAGAAAAGCTAAAAGTAGGTATCTGCCACAATGAATCCACTGGAATACAAAATGCAATAATTATAAAAATGGAAATGTTAAGCTTTTTTCAGTTATGGATTTATAATGGCAAAATAGTGTTTTAAGAAAACTTTCCCATTTCAAGAATTAAATAACATTAAATTATGCTTCAAATGTGTATTTAACATTAAAAATTTGGTCCAAATTTATGTTTGAAATCGACCCTTGAAACACAACAATATTTGCCAACTTTTCACTGATCCCAAAGTGATTTGTGTTAAGATTCTTATTTCATATTGTCCTAAAGTTTTACCAACATAAAACTAAGTGCTACACACAGTGTCCCATAGATAGAGGAAAAAATTTACAGGATAGCAGACCTCAAGAGCTAAAAAAAGTTTATATGAACATTGGTCTAATTTTAGGCAGAAAAGTAGGAAATTTAAGTTTTGGGTTTTTAAAGTAATGTTTTTTGTTGAAGCGATAACTAAAGAAATATTTAATTTAAGGAATTAACAATTGCTTCACTGTAAACTAGATAAAATTTAGTTCAAATCAAAATAGAGTTGGTCATTGTTTTGAGCAGCTAAACCAAGCTAAGATCTGTTTTATTAAAAAATCATAAATTATTCACATTTTTTCCCATCATACTCTAACTATACAACAGATACCCCACTTTTATAAAAACTTCCTCTTTTAATAAGCTTTGAGTCTATATTAAGTTGAGGTTTATTAGGGAAAACTTGAGATTCACCTTAAGTTATGTAAAACAATGATATGATTTTATAACTTATCACCTAATTTTTTTGATGACTTGGATGTATAATAATAAATATAATTGCCTAAATAAACATTTTATTACTTAAAACAAAAATGTGCTTATTAATAAGTTGAAACTATTATAGGAATAGATCTGAAGGACGAAATAAATGTCTCTAGACCTAAAATTTATGCTTATAATAAAAAATGAATTGTTTCAATTATTTTCATAAAAATGAAAATATTTGCATGAGAAACATTTAGTTTGTCACTTATAAATACGGATCAATTCCCATAATAGTTTCATAACCACTTTTCATGATAAATATTTGAAAAATCATTATTTTAAATGTTTGTTTTTATAAATAAAAGGTGTATTTAGGCAATTATCTTTATTATAATATTGTGCTTATTGCAGAATTTCCCCAGAGCTGTATCAGGTTACTGCATCAGCAGACAGCAACGGAGTGGAATGAGGAACTGAAGAGAAAGGGATCGACTGTTATTCCACAAAAAGCGAGGTTCTTCAAGTTGGTAGAACGCAAGAGGATGTCCAGATTACCTGTAATGAAGAGTTGATGGAGGTTGTTATAGACATCACACATAACTTGGCACGGTGATTAGTAGATCTGGTTAAGTAGAATTGGAAATTGCAAGCAGAATTTCCAAGGCTAATTCTGTTTATTACCAGATCTGTAACTCGGTTATTGGCAAAACGGAAGTAGGACTATACATAAAGCTCCACTTATTCAAGGCTGTCTTTCTACCAGTACTTCTCTACAGAGTGGAGTGCTGGATTATGAATAGGAGGCTACTAAGCCGTATTGCTGCCTCGGAAATGAAGTTCCTTAGGAGAATTGTTGGGAAAACATGGAGGAACTGTATTTAGAATGAGGATTAGGAAATAGCTTAATGAACGCCCGGTAATGGAAATCCTAGAGAAGAGGAAACTGAGGTGGTATGGACATGTATGCCTCATCGGACCATCACAGAAACCCTATCAATTCATGGAGATAAGACCGATTTAAAACTTCATTCCCAATTCTTAAGAATTAAAAATCCAAGTGAATCGAAGATCAACCAATTTCGATTGAATAGCTGAATCGACCGATTCCAACTGAATTGTGATTCTTTTGTATGAAGCACTTGACTACGATTCTTTTAGAGGAATTGATTCTCTCGATTTACCTGCCCATCTCTATGACAAACTAAATGTTCCTGATCCTAATATTGGGTTGGCAAATAAGTCCTTTCGGTTTTTCTGTTTTAAGTTTGTCACTATGATACACTTCTTATCTGATGAATTAATCACTAAGGTGGATTGTTTAGCCTGTTTGTAATATGTCAACAACTATATCTGTTAACTCTTGTCTCAAAACTAGCTTAGTATTATGTTTGCTATTGCACTGTGAATAAGGGAGAAAATATCATTCATTATTGGCATATTTTGTTGTATTATTTTTAAAAAGTTAAGTGTGCTGCAGAAGCTCATACAAAAATTTGCATTGATTTGGTGTTGATGCCTTAACCAAACACACGGTCTGGTCGCCCACATGAAATTGAAACAAGCAATGTTAAGGTCGGGCATAGGATATGGAAATCACCGGAAATGGAATCACCATATCTTCGGAATGGAAATCACCATATCTTCGGAATGGAAATCACCATATCTTCGGAATGGAAATCACCATATCTTCGGAACCGGGTTTATTATTCGTAAGAATGCAAGATCGTTAATTATAATGATATGGAATCACCATATCACCGGAATGGAAATCACCATATTTCGGAACCGGGTTTATTATTCGTAAGAATGCAAGATCGTTAATTACAGATTTCAAGCCTGTAAATCCCAGAATTTGCTACTTAAGAATAAAAGGAAAATTCTTTAATTATAGCCTTTTCAGCGCTTATGCACCCACGGAAATATCAGATGACATAGAAAAGGATGAGTTTTACGAGACTCTTGAAAAAACAATAGATACATGCCCTAGAGCTGACATTAAGATAATAATGGGTGATTTCAACTCAAAGATTAGCAATGAGAGCATATTCTACCCGACTATTGGTCAGCATAGCCTGCACAAAGACACTAATGATAATGGACTAAGATTAGTGAACTTTGCCGCATCTAAAAACCTAATCATAGGGAGCACGCTCTTCCCACATAAAAATATTCATAAAGGTACTTGGAAATTCCCAGATGAGGGAACTATAAATCAAATCGATCATATCTTGATTAGTGCAAGACATCCCTCAAATCTGATCAATGTCAGAACCTACAGAGGAGCCAACATTGATTCTGATCACTTTATAAGTATTGCCAGAATCAGAGCTAGGATAGCGAACACGAATCCAAGAACAGAAAGACAAAAAGTATGATAGGAATAAACTGAAAAATCTAGATGTGCGTCAAATATATGAGGAGCGAATAAATAAAAAATTAGTAACTCTAGAAGTTTCAGATGATCATAATATTAATCGTATATGTGGGATGCGTTCAAAGTTTCA